CCCCCAAAACCCCAAAACCCCAAAACCCCTATTTAACACTTCTAAATTGGTAGATTACATCTAATTAATCATAAATAATGCAAAATTATCCACAACTTGCACGTGGGAGCTTAGTCCCCAATCCTGACTATGATTTCGGATTTTTGCAGCAGATTGGAGATGGATGAGAGACCCTCAACCCTATTGTGGCCTTCCTGATGGGCATCAACTACAATAAGTTTTCGAATCGTTACTCTAAAGAGGACTTCATTCAACTTGTAACGAGAATGAAGGAAGGAGCAGATATCAATAGCCTTGATGTATGGGACCAAAATAGAATATACAGAGAGCTATATGAACAGATTGCTCTTGATCAAGTGTTAAATCTCAAATGGTTTAATAGAGAAGGTGAAGCTTTGGAGAATCCTAGGCAAAATGATCCAATAATCCAGACAATGATGGGACTTCAAAACAATAATCATGCTCAAACAGCAAATGAAGGTAGGTTGATTAGCTTTTGGTGTTTGAAATTCTAATTGCTATTAGCCCAAGATCCCCAGTCAGATTCCACTTCCTCGATCCACTTCGAAGACGACCAAAAAGTAAGCCAGTCAAAATTTTATAATTCCTTCACTTAGGTTACAAAAATTTGTTCTTGGGATGGGAGGGAAGAGGGATTTTTGTGAAGAGGGCTTGGAATGGGGTTTAGCTGTGTATAGAGTGAGGAGAGGAGTGAGGAAGAGGAGAAGGGGGAAGTTGGAGAGAGGAGGGGAGATTTGGAGGAGTGGGGTGGGAGAAGGCAGATGGAGAGGATGGTGGAGGGTGATGGGAGTGGTGGTGGTGGTGATTGTGGAATGGGACAGAAAGATGTGCCTGAGAGTTTAGGGGGAGGAGATTGATGCAAACGAGTGAAAACTGGAGAGGATTCGGAGTTTCCGATCAAACCTGCCCAAAGAGAAATGAAAATTCATAATAAAATTTCGACTCATACTCCCCCTACTGAACCTCTCTCTACTGCCAATCTCCCTCGCGAAGAAGACAAATCTATCGACACCCTAGTTCTTCAAAAATCCTCCCAACAGGAGCAAGATCCATGACCTACTTGCCAATGAAAAAGCCTAATGCTAAATAGGAACAAATCCGATGGATCAAGGCAAAGGAGAAATTCTGAAGAACCTCCTGCTCTGCAGGAAATGCCTGCACAGCAAGACACCCTCCCTGAAGAACCCCAAGCGGTGAGAGAGATCCCTAACGAAGATGTACAAGAAGACCTGAAGAGTAACCCTGAAGAACCCCAGCGTCCTAAAAGAGTTAGAAGAAAACCCACTCCAGCCGCTACAAAGCGTAAAGCAACTACACTAAGACTAAAGAAAGGAAAGAAGCTATCTTCGGCACCTAAGAAGGCAAAGGCTCCCAAAGGACCAACTTGCATGAAATGTAGGCGTAAAATTGCCCCTTCCGAAGCCCAAGAGTTAAAATGCGGTGACTGCTTCCATCCTACCTGTATTGAGAAGCACATCAAAGCCCAATTAAAAGCCAAGAATTATGAAATTACTTGTCCAAGTAAGAAATGTCTGAAGAAGCTAACCCAAAAGACTCTCAAAAGTATTTGCAGTGTCGATCTCTACAAAACAATCCAAGAATGCAGACCGATCAAAAGAAGGCCCAAGAAACCCTCTCCAGTTTGTTTACCAGCCTCTTCTCCAGCCCCTAATCCAAGGGCATTTGGATTCGGATTATTTCGCTAATCTTCAATAGTTTGCACAACTCTGGGGTTTTGGGGTTTTGGGGTTTTGGGG